GAATCGAGGGTACGATAATCAATATGATTTTACATTCGACGGAAATAGAAATAAATGAATCCAGAAAATAGTCAAATTTTATAAAAATAGACTAAAAGCTTTTAGAATCGAAGAACGTGAATCTCTAGGAGGATTGTCGAAATTCTCAAGTTCGATTTTCTCGTTCGAGAAATGCTTAGTTATGTTTTATAAAATTTAATTATTTTCTTGAAATAGACTTATCCCAGCGGAAAAAGTCTAAGATCACCATAGTTTTATCATGCGCGTTCAGTGTCTTCACTATTATTATATACATGCATGCCTAGACCAATACATAGGTGATCACCATCACCGTTGCATATCTAATTCGCGACCAACTCGACACATTCTAGTCCTTGTTAATGTAAAGTCATATTAAATTCAATTATTAAATAATCAATATCGAATAATGTAGGTTCGTGATAAAAATATTCGAAAAATAAACTATTTAGTTGGATTGGTTGTTTTTTTTACCTTGAATGGTTTAGTGCTTATGTACTTTTCTATATGCAATATAAAGCAAATGCAGTACCCTTATTATTTATATATTTCGGAAGGTGACTATTCGTAACATGGAATGATGATATTAAAGGATTATGACAAACATTAAAAACATATTGTTATTTTGCTTAAATATATTACTGATGAAATGTCTTTATATTACATATATAATACAATCCTTGAAAATAGACAGTTCAATAGATTTGAATCAATCAACATAAACGTCTAGAAATAAAAAAAAAAATGAGAAAAATCCTTCATGCTCAATTACCATATTTTTTTATTATTCTATACAATATAAACTATTGTATTCCTATTAACCTTAGTGTTTGTTATAGCAATTATGATTGTATTAATTTTTATATTTATCTATTTACCGCAAGTCGATGAAGATTTACATCTATTACGAGTTCAAACAAGTAAAATAAAACTAAAATTTTATAATTTTTTTTTTTTTTATAAAGATGCAAATGATTATATTTTAAATCACAAAACAAATTTTTAAACATAAAATCATCGTATATATGAAATTTCAGATTTAAATACAATCTCAAATTCTGTAGAAAAGTTTCTTCTTTTTTTATTCTTTCAATCTACTCACTTTATGACTGATAGAAGTAAACAACAAAGGTAATATTTATTTCGATAGTAACTCGAGTAATATGTATTAAAAATAAAAAACAAACAAACACATTTTATTTTATTGTTTTATTATAGTATTCAATTTTGAAGGTCACATAACTAATCTATAGGAAAATATTTTTACATTATAGATTCAAATAGAATATTCATCTATATATAAAACAGTTTAAACATGTACAAATTGTTGTATTATACGATTAATTTCAAAAATAAATTTTAACTCGATTACTTCGAATAAACTATCATCAACAAGAACTAATATTCCTACTGTTAAATTTAATAATAGCCTTACATGAGTAAGTGGTGGTAACAATCAAACAGCTGGTGCTATGTCGTTATCTAATATGTATACACACCTTCAACTTCAATATGGTCAGAAACTAGTTCAACAAAATTAAATCATCAATATCACGCAATAATATTACTTAGAAATTAAAATCATGTTTTTAGTTATTGCTAGTAAACTATCTGAATCACTAACAAATACATTTGAATAATATGATATTAGTAGAAGAATTTCAAGTAATATACCCCAAAGACTTGTATTACATGCCTCAACACTATTCAACAATGAACTTGTACTTATTGCTCGAGGAATTATAGACAATATTGAATCAACTCCCTATTATGATTCAACATAGATCAAAACAGAATACCTATTGTGAAAGTCCTACAGTAATATTTTATTAACTGATGGTCATATTCTTGTTATTGATGATACAATAGCTTAAAATAGGATACAACAACTGATAGTATGTGAATTGTAAGATATTATCATGCAATTTTTCATCTTGTGGATGATACTGTACTAATCGTCGGTAGTTTTAATACAATAAATCTATCAATAACAAATTCAATTTTTGTTGATTTACAAATGATTATGTTCTTTCAATATGGAGTAAAGATACAAATCGTAATTGTTGTATTTGATTAGAAAATATATAATCTATCAAGTAAATTTAGCTTTTGCTTATTTTGAAACGTATATTCACCTGTGATGGTGTTCATATCGAAAGAATATTTGAAAATTATGAATATGTTTTCACTTTATTTGAAAATAATTGATTTTATTTATAAGTTAAGATCGCATAAAATCTAATTTCATCCACTTGAAAATCAAGTGACTCTCTCCTATCCTTCATTTGATTTTTTAGCTATACAATTTGTCATCATGCTATGCATAGCGATAGAGAGAGAGAGAGAGAGAGAGAGTTAATGAATAATTTTTTATTGAAGTACTTAAATACAAATAGAAGAAGGATTATACAATTTTCTTTTTCAAATATCATCACGCAAAAGATGAAGAAAAAAACCTCGCTTTTATAATACGATTCGCTCGTCTTTCATTTTGATTCTTTTTTTTAATCAATCATTTATTCTCTTAACATCAACATGCAAAAGATTTAGATCACGACAACAAACGACTTGATAATCCTCTTCACGTTGAATTCTTTTTCTTTTCTTTTTTTTTGTTTTTTGTTCTTTCTTAGTTTGTCTATATACACAGGTGAAAGACAGAACATACGACTTTTTTTTTCACTCATTGTTCATTAAATGGACTCGATCTCGTGCTGCACGAAAGAACAGGAAACACTAGATGTATATGTTGATTGATGATAGGTGGTAGCTGTCCATTAGGATGAGTAGCTCACGGGGTCATTTATAAGTAAGTAGCACTACAACTATTCTTCGTCTTATTCAATATTTAAGTGTCTAGCCATCATCACTTCTTATTCATTTCAATGTCTAAATCGTTTTGTTGTTGTCAATCGGTCTTTCTTTTCTTTTATTCTTTCAATCATCACCTCAATTTTACTTTTATAAACTTCATCAAGCAAGAATAAGATCGATTTACATGAAGAGAAAAAAAATATATACAGTCGTATTATGTTAATCGAACAATGAATGTAAAGATCATCGATTCATTCAATTTTTCTTTTTCCTCTCTCCCTTTTTTTACTTTTCTATACACGTCTATTAAATGACAATCTATAGTTTATATACATAAACGAAGGTAAAAAGAAAACTTGACCATCACCAAGCCATTCTTTCTTTCTCGGCTTGCTCTTGTTACTTCTCTTTCACGCCTAATTGCTAAGGTAAATGATGAGTCCAACCTCTATATATATATATATGTATAAATATATATATATGTGAATGAGCTGGGCGGACAAGATATTGAAAGAACGCGAGAAAAAAAAGAACTTTGATCAATAATATAATGAGTATATGCATGTGATACATCTAGATAGATTGATCGATATTGTAATGTGATGTTCACGCATATGTATCTACATCATTTACACGATCTTCTCATTCATTCATTCATTCATTCATTCATACTCTTCATTGAACAAGGTGAAATATAACAGATTTTACAGTCTTTGAGAATTCTTTCTTTATTTTTTGACATACAAAAGAATGAATGTTACATATAATTGAGTTTTTTTTTTCCTGTGAATATGATACTCATTTATTTTCAAAGGACAGTATTGTAAGTAGATGTATATTTAATGTTTCATATGATTATTACTATCGACAAGATAGAATTTCATTTATGAATAAAAAAAAAAATCTTCTAATCACCTTTTTCTTTTTAATCCGACTTTTCGAGAAAAAAAATTAATTTCTTTCTTAGGCATTTTTGTTTTCTTTTCATCAATGCATACGTATTATAAAAGGCTTCACGTGTGTATGAACGTTACTGCTCATGTTCTTTTTTTTTTTCTTATTGCGTACGCCATCGCACGTCTTCTGACCTCTTCCTATTCTTATACAAAAAGTGTGTACGCACGTCATCATCACTATAGCTGTTCATGATTACATAACTTCGATCTTTATTTTATTCTCGGTTGCTGCTGTTTTTAACAGATGAATGACTAAATCTTACTGCTGAGTTGGGAGTCAGTCTTCTTTCTTTTTTTTTTCTCTTTCTTCTTCGGTTTTTTTTTCTGTTGCGATGTCTTGAGTTTCTTTGTTTGCTTCTACATTTTGTATAACAACCACCTATCATACAGAATATCTAATTAATATGGATGAGTTTCTTATGGTTTAATTCGTTTGTAGGAAATGAATCGAATGAATTTTCCTGATTGGAAAATAGAATATCATTATGGATTTAATAATGCCTAACGAATGTATATGTGTAATTGTTGTTTTCATTTACTTGTTACTCGTGCTTTTTTTTTCTCCATATTTCTTTCTCTTGTCTTTCTATGCTTCTTTCTCTTATATGTATGATACTAACATAGTATCCGATGCCATTTCAGTAGATGCGCTCGTGCGTGTACACCAAACGTCGCCGTCATCATCGTCGTTGATCTTAACACGATGAGAAAGGAAAGATAATTATTCATGTAGATATAAGTAAAATAGACATTTATGAATGTTATCTTTCACATTGAGATTCTCTTAAGAGTTATTTACTAAATAATAAATTTTATATGTATACAATAGTATACTTGTCTAAAGATGAAAGACCTTGTTCTTCTTCTTTTTTTTTTAATAAAATTAAAAAAAAAGATGTACATTTACTTTATAAAATTTCGAGAGTACACTCGAAATAGCTTTTAGTTTGTTCCTTTTTTTTTTCACAATGTATATAATTTAAACATACTTCATGTTTAAAATGTCTTAGTGATTTCCGTTCCCATGTTCATCTTGTATGATGTGTGTGTGCACACCTTTTTTTTTTTTTTTCTTGGTCTGTTCATTCTCTTTTCCGATGTGTCAAATTAGACACATAAGTATTCAGCTGTTGCAAGAAAGAAAAAATTTCTCTCATTTAGATTATTGTTTCTTATATAACCTTCATTTATAACATATTAAAAGTAATCATTATGTGTCAATTTATTGAATTATTTCTTCTATTAATAACTACTATTATATCAATAAAAAGTGAACAAAGACAATGTCAACTAATAACTTATTATGAATGTAAAAATATTGGATATAATCAAACTTATCTACCAAATAAATTTAATCATCAAGATCAAAAAGATGTTGCACTAGTGGTAAGTTGGACAGATGTTTTTTTCAAGTTCATTAGAATATTTTCTTTCTACATAGTTTTTTTTTCTTTTAAACAAGATTAAAATCAATAATTTTTTTTTTTGTTTTATGTTATTTCGATCATGATTAGCATAGAAATAAATGATTTGTATAGACTAATCAATCTTAATAGATAGGTGAAAAAAAAAATAAAGGCGTATCATCAATCCTACAGACGAACTAATTTCATGTATGTATTACTCTGACATTTAGTTGACCTTATATATATATGATCTAATAAATAAACAATGTATATTATGATATCATTAAAATTGTGAATAATCGTGTCAATAAAATTTTTCGATTATTTATTGTTATTCATAAAAAATCGTTTTATACGTATATTTCAATATAATTGATTAGGTTTGAATATAAATCAATGAGTTTAGAATAACATATTATTTATATACAATATATTCAAGGAGTAAAAAGTTGATGAGGAAAAAAATAAACGAAAATTTTCAAAGATTATGAGAAGGAAAGTATTTCTGAGTATATTGAACGAAAAAAAAAAAATTTTTTTTTTTCTAATTTAGATTAATCAATTTACAGCATTAATTGCTGTTGGATGTTCATCTGAACTTCGTTTTCTGCTGTGTTCAATATATATGCCATTATGTCTTGCTAATTATTCTGATCCAATTCCACCATGTCGAGAAGTAAATATTGAAGATTTTTATTAATAAAAAGAAAAAAAAAAAGAGTGATTATCTTTGTTATTTTCATTAGGTTTGTGAACGTGTTCGTGAACCATGTGAACCGTTTTATTTACGTTATGGTTTTTTATGGCCTGATGCATTAAAATGTGAACAATATCCATCAAATGAAGAAAAAGCTATATGTATGGATCCAAAAAAAAATTCAATAAAATCTTCACGTTATTTATCTCGTCCATTAAATTCATGTTGTCAATGTAATACATCAATTGGTTATCATCTTATTGATGAAGATGATTATTTAGCAGTAACTAAATGTCTTCCACCATGTCGTTCAGTTTATTTTTCTGATAAACAATCTATATCAATTATAAATCTATGGTTAACTATACTTAGTGTACTTTGTGCTTTATCATGTACATTTGTTTTATTAACATTTTTTCTTGATATGACAAGATTTAAATATCCACAACGACCAATTATATTTTTATCTTTATGTTATTTTTTTGTATCATGTGGATATTTAATACGTTTAATGCTTGGACATGAAAATGTTGCATGTCGAGTAGATAATAAGGTAAGAAGAAAAAAAGAATATTTTAGAATGAATGATTGTAATTTGAATTCATATTGGAAAGAAGGTCTTAATAAGACTAGAAAAGAATTCATGAACCTAAGTTATAATCATTTTACTGAAATTTCGACCTGCAATTTTGTTCGTAGATAGATCGAATAACTCTGAGAATATTCCTTTGTCGAGATATTGAATATCCAACAAATAATTGTTTGACATAGACATGTCACAAAAAATCAAGTTTACTTGGAAATTCCATATCTCGACAAAGGAACATTCTTTTAGGCTGAAACTTTCAAAATATTCCAAAGGTCATCAGACTTCTTTATGGATAAAATTGCTGGTCAAAATTCTATTATTTGGTTTTTCCTGGAAATACCTAAAAATGATACATAATCATAACTCGGTGTTAGAGATTCATAGACACTTTTCTAGTCTTATCGAGACTTCCTTGTAAACTCCAACGGTGCGTTAAAGTTCGGTTAGTTTCTTCATGAGTCTGACAGTTGCTTCGAAGATGTGAGATAATTTTCATTGATTAATTATATTCTGCTATTCAATCAAGTCATAATTGACTGTTATACTTGTTGACTCATTCTATCTTCATATTAAAATATATTTTAAACTTATATTTGAGTTTATGATTAATTTAATTATTTCTTTTTTTTTCAAATATCAATTTTCTCTAGATTGATTCATCATCATATACACAACTTGTTCGTGTATCTGGTCCATCAAGTTGTGCATTTGTTTTTGTTTTAACTTATTTTTTTGGTATGGCATCATCTATATGGTGGGTTATATTAACATTAACATGGTTTCTTGCTGCTGGTTTTAAATGGTCATCAGAAGCTATATCACATTATTCAATATATTATCATTTTATAGCATGGTTATTACCATGTTTACAAACAGTTGCTATATTAATATTAAAAGGTATTGATGGTGATTCAATAAGTGGAATTTGTTATGTTGGACATACAGATTCATCAATGTTACGTGGATTTGTTTTATTTCCATTAATAACATTTTTAACTATTGGTACAATATTTTTATTAGCTGGTTTAATAAGTTTAATGCGTATAAGAAATGTAATTAAAATTCAAGATCGTAGTAAAACAACTAAATTAGAAAAATTAATGGTTAGAATAGGACTTTTTGCAATTCTTTATACTGTACCAGCAACATTTGTAAGCTTAAATAATAAAAAAAAAAAAAAATCTTTTTTGATTTAAATGAGATTTATTTGAATATTTTTAAGGTAATTGGAATTTATTTTTATGAATTACGTTATCGTTCAGTATGGGAAGAAAATTTACATTGTAATAAATGTCCTCGTTTATCATTTGATACATATTCAAATTGGTCAATTCGACCAAGTTTTATAATTTATATGTCAAAATATTTTTTCTTATTAATTGTTGGTATAACAACTGGTATATGGATTAATTTTAATAATAAAACATTTTTAACGTGGAAAAAATTTTTTTGTTGTCAAAATTCTATTGAACATAATAATAATAATAATAATAATGATCATCGTTGTTCACATCATCCTCATCGTCATCGTTATGATAATCATAATGGACGTGATGCTAGTGGAATAAATTATTCATATAAACATACAAAAATTAATGGAAGTAAATATTCACTTCCATCATCGAAACAGGGTCCTTTAGCTCATGTATAATTCTATTATTTTATTCATTCCATTTTTGTTGAAAAAAAAACGAAAAAGAAACAAGGTGATGTGCATTTTTTTGTTTTTGTAGGTTTGAAAATTTTTTTTTTTTGTTTTTTTTTTCTTAATTAACTTGTTCACATAGGTAGCAGCCATGTATGTTTTTGTGTGTTTGGTTTTTTTATTTTTATAATGAAAATAAAAATCATTGAAAATACAAAAAGAGAAATAGATATTCTATGAAACATCTGTTTTGTTCTTATCTTTCGATAGAAAATATTCTCGAATATTTTTAGTTAACATTAAGAAATATAAATTGTTAATTGTTGACAGGAGAAAAATTATAAACAAATGACATTAACATTATGACACGATAGGCATCTTTTGATGTTTAGAAACAGCTATTCAATTAATAGAAAAGACGTATGTTTATGTTGAAACAATATGGTTTATGACCTACATGACAATGCCATCTATTTGTTTCGATTGATGATATTAACAATGTAATATATTTAACATAACTGAAAAATATATTCATTAGACTAAAAAAGGATTATTTACATAATCAGCAGGATATAGAAGCTGTTCGTAGGTTGAAACAGTGCGCCAAGGAAAAAAAACGACTTGATAGAAAGAACTTGAAATATGAGAAAAATATCAATGAACTTTTCAACGAGAAAGCTTGTATGCCTTTAAGTGTTGATATAATGTCAATAAACAAATGATGACGTATTTCATACTTTTATCAGTCAGAATTTTTTTTTTTATGTTTGTTCATTAGGAAAAGTCCAATAGATTCTGTTTTCTTGAATATGATAACAGTGAGATAGATAACTGTAAATATAATTATCAATAGTAATCTATTTGAATAGAAATATTATTTACTTTGATAATAGAATAATCGTTTATATGGGTTTTTGAACTTTGAATTTGTAATTATGAGCATAAAGAAAAAGAATATCATAAGAATAGAATTATGGAAGGTAAGATGCATCGTTTACTTTTGCTCTATTGTCTGTTCAATTGAGCAATGCAGACAACGATGATTGCATTTATGTAGTTTCCTATTGATTGGAGCACATACTTATAAAGTTTAAATTCTAAATATCGATTGCTAACATCCTGAATATTCTATTCTTGTTAAGATTTAATAAAAAAAAAACGATTTGTTTTTAAATACAGAAATAAAGATTAAAATTTCTAGATTATAACCCACTCAACTTATTCTATCTCGCTTGATTGCAAAACACATTGAACATCAATTTTTTGATCTTATCTTAGATCAGAAAAGGTAGGATTACTTTGATCTTGGAACATCTCTGATAACTACATTAATGATATTTCTGAAACTAAAATTTTAACAGAAAATATTTGATTTATTACAAATATAAAACTGTCAAATGAACCTTTATGTTATATAAAATTGGTTCAAAAACATTTCTGTTGTTTAGAAAAAAAAAAAGAAAACTTCTAATATATCATTAAAAAATTGTTTAAAATAATATTTATAGAAATCTTAGAAAAACATAAAACAATAATATTAATTATTCTAAAAATAGTTTCTTTCTTTGCAAATATTTCAATGATAAACTATGTAAAATATGCTAAATTTATTGTCTTTCTTTATGTATTTTTTCCAATAATCAAGAAATATTTAAGTTTTAATTGGCTTTTATTTTTTATTGATGGCCAAAAATATTCGCGTCAAATATCACAAGTGTATACACAACACACAAAATTATTTTTTTTATTACTTGTTCGTTTCAATTTACCATTGTTGAATGTAATCCATTGACTAAATATAAAATAAATTAAACCTAATAATATTTTTAGTATAGGAAAAAAAAACAAATTTACAGAAAATCGATTATGAAGTTTTCCATGTAAGGCCGGTCGTAGTTGTGTCGATGGTGCTCGATGACTATTCATAAATCATTTTTAATTTAAAAAAAGAAACAACTTTTTTTATTTTATTAACTTACGCATGAACATTACAGCCCTTTTGACATAAATTTTGTTCACTATTAGCTAATTTTGTACGGCGTAAAGGATTAAATGTCCATGGTACATGAATATCATCTTGACGAAGTACACCAAACGGAACATAATGTGGTTGATATTTAGGTTGTTGAACTTGTCTCGCGACGCCAAGTGTTTGACGTCGTTCAATAACACGTTGACGACGTAAAGCTTCGTAGAACTGTGCTTCCATACTCATGATTACAGTTTATTACGTTTTTTATTTTGTGTCAAGTAACTTCTAACTGTAAAATTTGACGAGTGAAAATAACGGCGACGACAACAGCAATCAAAATTTTTTCTTTTATTCTCTCAATACACTTTTTTTTTGCTTGTTGATGTTGTTGCATGTCGCCTTGAGACATGAAGTATTTATATATGTAAAAAAAAAAAAAAGAAAAGAAATCAAACGACAACTATTGAGCAAGCATCTTTCTTTTTATTTCTTATCGTTTGCCCTTAAAGGATGTTGTATTAGTTTTTCTGTACTTTTACAACTGTAGACACAAAGCAAAAACAAAAGTTTGTCTCGTAAAATTTCGTACAAAAAAAAAAAATTTTTTATTCATAGGTTAAAATGTCTGAATAAATCATCATTATTTTGGTTTTTGATTAGATCATATAACATGTTTATAAATATTTATTATCGAGGTCTGTAAAGAATATCATGTTAGACTATTTACTTTGGGTTTGAAGTATATCTCAAGAATTTGATTGGTTTTTATTAAGAAAACTATTTTATAATTCTTTAGTAACATTTTTGAGAAAATAGAACTCATAGAAGAATATTTATATAAATAGAAATAAACAAATATTCTCTATTGAACGAATGAAATTATTTTAGTATATCAAATATAATGAAAAATTAATTGATTTTGATTATCTTGATTTTCTTTTTCACTGGAATTAATTATTTCAATCTGAATTCTTATTGTTATAGAATTTTATTATATAAGAGAAATAGGAAAGAATAATTGTTAAATAAATAATTAAAAGAAATTTGATGTGCTTGAAATCAATCAATGTATATTATGGTTTCGTTGTGTTTTATATAATATTCTTTTGTCTTTAAAATATATTTACTTTCAGTCGAAAATTAATTAAATTTTCAAATATAATCTTGATTGAATGAAACATCTAAAGAAGATATTTAACTTCTATTTCAATAGATGAATATTAAAAGTTAAGTCTTAGAATTCTATAAAAGAAAATGAAAAGAAATAATTTACAATAATGAAAATAGTTGAAATGCATTCTTTTTACTAACTATTTTAATAAATAATATGTATTCTAATGCAAAAGAAAAAATTGTCTTCATGAATGAATAAGTCCTTATTTAAATAGATTGTTAATTGCAATTCTTGAGATATGTTGTTTATAAAATAAAAATATTTTATCTTGATAATGTGAATAGTTATATCAATTATTTATCATAAACTTTTTTTTATTTAAAATAAAAATGAAATATCTGAATTTCCATTAGTTCAAGATATGGTGATAGCTACATTTATTAACAACAAATAGCCGATATATGCAATGCTTTTTCGACAATCGAAATACATGGAAATCATGATAACATCACTTATACTATTATATTGAATTTTACAAAACATAATGTAAACTATTTTAGTATGATACAAACAAGAATTGTTGATAATATATGTCATATGTATCTTTAAGAAAAATATAGTAATTGCAATAAGGTGAATAAAGCCAGTAGATAGTTTCGACATAATGTTTATTTGCTGACATTCATTTAAATAATATTAACAACTAATAAAGAACCTTTAGTTGTCGAAAAGGTTCTGTTTATTATCAAATGACATGAGGGAGAAGTTTAGCAAAAGTAATTACGAACACATATACAATAAATTCATCTGATCGATTTGATTGCACTAAACTAGCATAACAAAAAATACCAATAAAAAAATAATTTCTGTAATACCAAATTTTGCGAATTAATTCCTATAGAAATTTCAAATCATTCTAAATTGCATACTTCTATCATATATTAAATTCTTGATTAAAATTAACCAATAAATCAAATCATTTTCAGTTCATTACTCGAATAATTTTAATAAATTAACATTATATATATATATATAAGTGATTTATATTATTCAATTGAATTCCTTAAGTTCATTTTTTAAAGATAAATATTTCTAAAATTTACTTGTACAATGCTCAAAAGAAAAAAGAAAAAGCAAGAAAAAAGAAAAAACTTTAAATGTTAAAATAGAATGAAGTTTGAAAAATAACATTCCATCTGATCGATTACCAAGTCAATTGTGTGTGTATGATTAGGTGATGGAAAAAGAAAAACAGACATCTATACAACTACAAATTGCGTCAATGCATACAAATATAGCACCAATAATGCAATTTCGAAAAAGAAAAACAAACAAACAAACAAACAAACAAATGTTTAAATATTATCCAATATTGATAATTGCAATTTTAAATGATTTAATTCTTGTTCAAGTTCATCAATACGTTTTCGAATTAATTGTTGTTCATCATCATGTTCTTTTTTTATTGTTACACAACGTAAATTACCATTTGGTGGTAGTAATGGTATTTGTTGTTGTTGTTGTTGTTGTTGTTGTTCATTTATTTTATTCATTTGTTCTTTAAGTTGATATGTTGTACATAATAATTTCGGAACATCAACAACACGTAAATCAAGACTATCACTTCGAGTTGAATAATTATGAAGACTACAACAATAATAATACAAAAAAAAAATATTATTAAATACAAAAAAAAAAATTACAAACCGTTCGCCAACACATCGAGATGGATGAAGTTTTGATGAACGATAAGCTTCAGTATATGCATCATCCGATGCATTTAATGTAGTATACAAACGCTAAACAAAAAAAAAAAGATAATTTCAAAAGTTTCAAGACGGGCATGGTTGAGTGGCTACGTTGTTCGACACGTATCCACAAAGTACTGTCTTCAAACATCGATATCACTATGAAACAAAGTTTCATTATAAGAATCGATCTATTATCGGTAGAGTCCATCGGGTTCAAGAATTTCTGAAATCGAATCCGACTGATTAAAATTTGTTGGATCTAGAACTGGGCGTGACCTTCTGTTCAAAGCTACAGCTAGTATTGGTTGTAGGAAAAATATTGAGTCTATCATTAGATAGCAGTCTATATCGCAGAGTAGCCAAAAGGCATGAACATTCTTCTTACTTGTGAACAAAACATCCAACCAGGCCATTGTCGTTTTCGCCAATATGGTATAGCATATTTAAATGTAAGCCATTCTAATAAAAGTGTTACGAATCCAACTATCATGCCAGCACCTAATAGTATAAATACACCAATAAATCGATCGATAAATAATCCTTGATTCTAGAAAAAATTCAATCAAATATAATTAATCTAAGATAAAAATAAAATATACTTCATTGAATCGTTTTATTTCACAATTTTCATAAACATACCAATCATCATGAAGACGTTGAATAATACCTATTGAAGAAAACAAAAACAAAAAAATTCTTATTATAAATATTTAAAAAAAAGACAAGAATCTTTTTTTCTTTTCTCTAACCTTTATCAACATAAGATAATAAAATATTTGTTATATCATTTTTTAAATCTGTATCAAATTTTGAAAAACCTAATGATAAACCAAATGATCCGAAATTGTCACCACTTATACGAATTGATTTTGAAACTTCACGTGTTAAATAATATCGTGCCATTGAATGATCCATAAGTAAATAAGTTATTGAACGTGCACGAAGTAAATCAATACCATGTGCATATGATGAAACATATTGCATATGAGCATAAAGTGTATTTGTAAAAAATCTTTTTATATATTCTTCATCACTTGTATTTGCAACAACACCAATTGTACATTGAGACATTTTACGACATTCATCCTTAGATAAACAATAATATTTATTATAAATTAAATCTTTCGATAAACTCTGTTTCTTTTGAGAAAATAGATGAATTTTATAAAATATGAGAATTAAGACTTTCTCGAATGAGAAAATTGAACTCGAGAATTTTAACAAATCTACTATAGATTGCATAGTTTTATCATATGTTGACCGTCTTAACTGTTAGTTTATACGTATACATGTTCAGACCAGTACAAAGCTGTTAAATATCGATATATTGAATATATTTGGAAAAGAATAATTTGCTATTGTTAGAATACTTTTTCAAATACATTGCAAGAAATCATCTAATTTCTGGACGTAGCACAAAATCTTTCTTCGCAATAGAAAATTTGGGGTTGTCTATTATATAAGTTTTTTCAGAAGAGTTTTCTATTGTGTCTTCTGTATTTTCAGAGGTTTTAATTAAAAGAATTTTTCAATGAAAATCTTCGGATTTTACTCTAAAAGCTCAGAAATGATGTTGACCTCAATATTTTAAGAAAATTTCCGCTCAAAATCCTGAAAACTAGGCATATTTTCGCGTAAATATACTAATTAAAGACCTATTTTTGTAAGAATAATAATTAATTAAGGGGTGTCTTCTGCTACATCTGTCGAATCATTTCTTCAATTGAGACTCCTAATGCCGAAGGAGTTCACTACTAAGGCGAACTCCAATTCTACAAAGATGCCAAAGATTCATTAAAATCAAGTTGGATTTTCACAGTTCAATTTTCTTTGCATAATCTTATGTTTTGGTAATTTCGTTTGCTGAAACTATTAAATTTTTTATCATCATATAAATAGAAGTAAAACTTCTATTTGATACAACTTTACATACTTCTGCCTTATAATTAACCTGCAGTATGGAGCGCTGTCTAACGACAGATTCCATATGTTCCCTACAACTAATACCAATTGTATCTTTGAACTGAAGCAGAGTTCTTGAGCTCTCCGCACTTAATAACTAGTCACAAGAACAGATATATATGTAACAATGTAGTCGATTTAATCACTTGATCGAGGTCATTCCATGGCTGGTGATACCAATGTTTGACTCTTGTAGATACGTGTCGCACAACGTAGTCACTCAGCTATGGCGGCCCGTATCAATAAGATATTTTTCTTAATATTGATAGTTGGAACGAATATGAAGAAAAATGCTTTTTTCGGTTATCATGAAAATTGATGAAGAGAATTTTCTCTAGGAAAATAAGACCGGCGAAAATCAGTTAATCTAATAGCGTAAACATCTCGTGAGTAAAATAAGACATTTCCAAGGATCA